AGGCCAGAGATGCTGCCACCCTCCAGCCTTTTACCAATTCTGACACTGTTCTGGTTACCTAGTACTGCTCTGACAAGAATATACCATAAATGGAATAGCTGAACAAACAGGAATTTATTCTCTTATAGTTTGGGAGGCTAGAAGTCTGAGTTCAAAGTGCCAGGCTGTAGGGACTGGATAAAAGCCCCTAAACCTTGGGCTTCAGCTCCATTTCCTGCTCCTGGCCCACTGAAGCTAGAGCCTTTTCTTCACTCAGACAGCTGCTAGCTGCTGAGGCTGACAAGCCCAAGGTTGACAAGTAAAAAGGCACAGTCCCAATGTTACCAAACCACACGGCAGGCCATTAATTCAAGTCCACTGAAAGTCCCAAGGTCGGCAGAGCATGGCAGGCTGCTGAACAACAACTTGGCTACAAGCAAGGTTCAAGAGTGCCATCAGCTAGAGACCATTCCCCAAGGCTTCTCTTTACATACAGGAAGTAGACCACATCCCTAAGGTAGCTACTCAGCTGCTCATAGTAGATCCCACCATGGAGTTGATTGCTAGTCTCATCATGGGGAATAACTACCGCTAGCTGCCCAGCCACTCAACCAGGCCCAGCCAAGTTGACACACAAACTTCATCACCATAGACACCAACTGTCCCTCCCATGACACTCACTACTTCTTTGCCAGGTTTGATAATTCGTTGCAACGGCCACACGGAACTCACAGAACTCACTCACTCATGTTTATGGAGTTTATTAGGGAGTAACAGGCTACAATTCAGGTTCAGGAACACACTCAGGATATAATTCTTTGATCAGGACAGTCTTCCTTCTGTTACGCCCTCAGACATGCCTCTCTGGCCTTTGGCCTCTCAGCCTGGCCTCTGCCCTGCTTGGGCAAGTATTGCAAAGATCTTTCAGCTCTGGCAATAGGTACACCTAGGTGCACATTGGGAGCTCTGGTAGCGTAGTGCCTAAGGCACTTGACTGCTAACCCGAAGGCTGGTGGTTCAAACCCACTAGCCACTCCTCAGAAGGAAGGATGGGCAATCTATTTCTGTAGGGATACCACGTTGGAAATCCAAGAAAGGGTCTCTGTGAGTCGGGTCTGACTCGACAGCACGTGACAACAACAACAGGTGCACCCCACTCTGCCAGCGAGCCCCTGCCCGAGGGCACTCAGCTTTCTCACTCTGTGGCCAGGTAAGCCCACTGCTCTGTCTCATGCCTCTTGGTTCCACTGCCGCCATCTCTCTGCCAGTGAGGTCCAGTGCAGGGATCTCAGGTCCAAGGCCATGCTCTGCTTTACCTCCAGCTCTTCTCTCCTGATGGCAGTGAGATCCCCTTTCTGCCTGCACCAAAACACAGAACCAAACTCACTGCTGTTGAGTTGGATCCAACTCAGCAACCCCTCCTTGGGTTTCCGAGGCGGTATCTCTAGAGAAGTAGATTGCACGATCTTCCTTCCAAGGAGTGGCTGGTGGGTATGAACCACTAGCCTCTGGTTAGCAGTCAAATGCCTTAGGCACTGTGCCACCAGAGCTTCTGCTTATAGGAGGGCTCATTTTAAGCCTGGCAGAGTGACAAAGCTAACCAATCCCAACATCAAAGTTCTACACACCTTATTTGCATGGTCCCACCCAGTAATCTGGTGGGAGTTAACAAAGACTATGGCTAGAAAAAACATACCAAGTAATTCACTGCACTACAGCCTCCATATCCAACCCACAGGGTTTCTAGACTGGAATCTTTATGGAAGCAGATCACCAGGTTGTTGTCCCATGGAGCCACTACGTGGGCTCAAACCACCAACCTTTCTGTTAGTAGGCAACTGCTTAACCATTGCACCACCTGGGCTCCATCAGAAGCTGTATGGACCATTAAAAAGGGGAAAGGAACAATAAAGCAAAGTGAATGGGGAAGACAATCACACAGAACCTTTTACATCTGTGTAAGGACTTTGGCTTCTCTTGAGTAAAATGGGGAGGCACAGGAGAGTTTTCTGAAGACAGTAATGTGATCTGACTTACCCTGCGCAGGGTTCTATGGGCTTCTTTGTAAAGGGAGGGCAGTAAGGCTAGAAACAGGAGAATAGCTGGAGATGGTTGCAGAATTCAGGATCAGAATGGTAACAGTGAAGATAGTAAGAAGTGTCAGATTCTGAGTGTATTTTGAAGGTAGGACCAGCAGAATGCCTTGATGGAACAAATGCAGGTGGGAGAAAAAGAACGAACCCAAGGATGACTAGAGTTTATGGCCTGAGCAACTGGAAGGATGGAGCTGCTATCAACTGAAATGGGGAAAACTATAGAGAAAGCAAGTTTTGGGCCATCAGAAGTTCAGTGTGGGGCATGTGCACTTTGAGGTCTATAGACTTCCAAGTGGAGATGCCATATGGGCTGACAGATACAGAAGTACAGAGGGGGAAGATAATCATTTGGGGATGATTTGTACACGATGGCACATTAAAGCTATAGGAAGAAATCACCCAGGGAACTTAAGTATAGGTAAATGGGATTAAAACCCTAGCCCAGATGCCAACACAGAGAGTGAGCTGCTGTGGCCCGTGCGGCGGGAAGAGTACGGAGCTCTGGAAGCCAAACCCAGCCTTCTGTTTCTCAAACCAGCCAAGCCGATTTCTGCCTCAGGACCTGTCCAGTATGTCTTATCCTTGAGACGACAGCTAAATGTCACCTCATAAAGGCCTTCCTTTGTTTCCTGATTTATTATTACCTCCTCTTCCCCTCAATCTCCTTACCTTGTTTTGTTTTCTTCATAGCACTTACCACTACCTGAGGTTTTCTGATGTATTTATTTTTTGTTGACTTGTGTATTGTTTTTCTACTAGAGAGTGCCTAGGGAGCTGTGGTGGCACAGTGGTTAAGGCATTGGACTGCTAACCCAGAGGTCTGTGGTTTGAACCCACCAGCCACTCTGTGGTAGAATGATGAAAGTTGGAACCTACTCAATAGCAGCGACTGGTAATCAGTAGGTAAGGAGTCTTAGTGGTGCTGTGATTAAGC